TGAGCTAAACAAACATTTCCGAGGCTTAAGAGTTGCCAGTTAAGAATACTTTGCTGACTTTGAGTTTCAGAAATGTTCTTAGGCCTAATGTTCTAATTTTTGAAACTTTGTCATGAGGATAAGTCAATCAAAGATGAGCATGTCCTCATCTTATGAGGTACTGAAAAAAAAAGGTTGCAAAGTGGAGTTTTTACAGCAATGCCATAGAGTATAACCTTTTTCTACCATTAAGAACATTTTGTGCAATGGAAAGGTTCAATGGATGTATTTTGGAAACATATGCCAACAAAGAATGTTTATTTTAGATGGGATGGTCTATTCTGAAGAGAACGCTTGAGCCTGGCAGGAATGCAAATGACTTTGATGTTCGCAGGATGATATGTTTCTGATCCTCATATAGAGCCCCAGCTGACACCATGTGTGACGATGATGAGACCACCGCTCTTGTGTGTGATAATGGCTCCGGCCTGGTGAAGGCTGGCTTTGCCGGAGATGATGCGCCTCGCGCTGTCTTCCCCTCCATAGTTGGTCGTCCTCGCCACCAGGTACAATCACAATATTTAGCTCTAACAGAGCACTTTAATTCCCAGAGAAGATCTGCCAAATGCACAAATGTAAATATAATACAGTACTGAACTGTTGCTATCTTCTCTAACAGGGTGTCATGGTAGGTATGGGACAAAAAGACTCCTACGTGGGTGATGAGGCCCAAAGCAAAAGAGGTATCCTAACTTTGAAGTACCCAATCGAGCACGGTATAATCACCAACTGGGATGATATGGAGAAGATCTGGCACCACACCTTTTACAATGAGCTGCGTGTGGCCCCCGAGGAACATCCCACCCTTCTCACTGAGGCTCCTCTTAACCCCAAAGCCAACAGAGAGAAGATGACACAGGTAAACTCGCTTGAACATTGCCAAATATTTGCACATTCAATAACTCAGTTCACCCTAAAAATGAACTCATTTATGAGTACCATGTTTTAGCAAATATTACAAATGTCTGCCTTCCATTCGTTTGCAGATCATGTTTGAGACCTTCAACGTTCCTGCCATGTATGTGGCCATCCAGGCTGTGCTGTCACTGTACGCCTCTGGTCGTACCACTGGTGAGTGTGTTGTTTGCGAATACATGCATTGCTCCTTTTAGGTTTCTCTGGAACCTTAAAAATGTTTTGTTGCTTGTAGGTATTGTGCTGGACTCTGGAGATGGTGTGACCCACAATGTCCCCATCTACGAGGGTTACGCTCTTCCCCATGCCATCATGCGTCTGGATCTGGCCGGTCGCGACCTGACCGATTACCTGATGAAGATCCTGACTGAGCGTGGCTACTCTTTTGTGACAACTGGTATGAATAAACCATGCTGTCTCATTAAAGGGATAGTTCACTTTGAAATTAATTGTTGATGTGTTTTAGCTTACCTCAAGGGCATCCAAGATGTACAGTAGGTGTCTCTGTTTCCACAGTAGTTTCACTATTGATATTTTTAGGTCAAACCGTTCTTGTCTGTCAGTCATATAATGGTGGTCTATGGTCACCACCTCAAAGAGGATGCACAGAGAAGTCCAAATTAAACATGATTTAATGACTCGTAAATTTAAGTACGCATTGATGGCCTAAGACACGAAACGAGCGGTTTGTGTGAGAAAACGAATAGTATTTATATAGTTTTTACCTCTTGTAACCACAGTCACGTCCAAGAGATCTGAGGGCGTGGGCGCTTCTATCTGCGCAAGTGTACCGGTAAGCGCCGGAAAGCCCCGGAAGTGATCTCTCGCACGTGTACGTCACTCATTGTTTACAGAGACCTTTCACTTCCGAAATCTCTGTGTAAACAATGAGTGACGTACACGTGCGAGAGATCACTTCCTGGGCTTTCTGGCGCTTGCACAGACAGAAGTGCCCTTGATTACAAGAGGTAAAAACGATATAAATACTGTTCGTTTTCTCACACAAACCGCTCGTTTCGTGTCTTAGGCCATCAATGTGTACTTACGTTTATGAGTCGTTAAATCATGTTTAATTTGGACTTCTCTGTGCATGCTCTTTGAGGTGGTGACCATAGACCTGCATTATATGACTGACAGACAAGAACGGTTTGACCTAAAAATATCAAAATTGAAACTACTGCGGAAACAAAGACACCTACATCTTGGATGCCCTTGAGGTAAGCTAAAACACATCAAAAATTAATTTCAAAGTGAACTATCCCTTTAAGTTGCAGCCTTAAGTTTTTAAATCCAATCAACTTGGATGATTAAGTCATTTCAACTTAAATTACATTAAACTGACTTTTAGTCGAATCCTGAATGACTTATACAAAAACTTATTTTGATGAGATCAAACCATATATGTTAACACTGGGATTTCATTATCACAGCTGAGCGAGAGATTGTGCGAGACATCAAGGAGAAGCTGTGCTACGTCGCTCTTGACTTTGAGAATGAAATGGCCACTGCTGCTTCCTCATCTTCTCTGGAGAAATCTTACGAGCTGCCTGATGGCCAAGTCATCACTATCGGAAATGAACGTTTCCGTTGCCCCGAGACCCTCTTCCAGCCTTCTTTCATTGGTGGGTGATATAATATTAATTTTACCAGTGTCAAAGGGGCAGTTCACACGACATCGTTTTCAGCTAAAAACACATACTTTTTATGCGTTTTGGCTGTTCATTTACACGACATGCAAACTATTGAAAACTCGTTTCAAAGTGCACATGTTCAATCTGTAGGTGCGTAGTATTTCTTTACATTGTGGCATCGCCATCTACTAGCCTGGCATGATAATACAGCGTTATTAGTAATTTTCAGGGATCTGTGCGAACGGGGATCGATGTTATCATCTGTATGTGAAAAACGCAAAGGAAAATCTTTTCCGTTTATAGTAGGCCTACATAGACCGCATAGTGTCGACCCAGATCCAGGCCACATCTGGTACATGTGGATTTGACGCTTAACAGATGTGGGCCGGATCTAGCCCAACACTGTTTCTATCTGGGTGTAACAACCTGATGAAAACAAGCAGAATCACTTAAGGAGAAAATCGTATTTTTAAGTCACCATTATGGAGATCAGTATGTGTTTTAGTTGGGCCAATTTTTAATTCTTGAGTTCTTAATTCATCTTTGACGTCAGTTTGTTTTTCCGATATTTTTTGTTTAAAAATGTGTAAATTCTACTCCTTTTAAATGCTTAACAGTCAAGTAATTCATATGGTTAGTTATTACTCAATTCTAATTGTTAAATTTAATTAATAATATTGATTACAATCTGTTGCCTCAATTTTATTGATTAGATTTAACATTAAAAAAAATAAGCCACACACATATTTTTTCAAAGTTTTCACTGCTTCTTTTGCCTACCAAAGGAATGGAGTCTGCTGGCATCCATGAGACCACATACAACAGCATCATGAAATGCGACATCGACATCCGTAAGGACTTGTACGCCAACAATGTCCTGTCTGGTGGCACCACCATGTACCCAGGTATTGCTGATCGTATGCAGAAGGAGATCACAGCTCTGGCCCCCAGCACCATGAAGATCAAGGTCGAATATTTATTCAGTAAATTCAGCTTTCCGGCCTTATTTTATTGTTGTTGGATTTGTAATAATCACATGTCTTCCTTCTCACAGATCATCGCTCCCCCTGAGCGCAAGTACTCCGTCTGGATCGGTGGGTCCATTCTGGCTTCCCTGTCCACCTTTCAGCAAATGTGGATCAGCAAGCAGGAATACGACGAGGCTGGCCCGTCCATCGTCCACAGGAAGTGCTTCTAAGTGGCAGGGGACCTTGATTACACTGATTACGGATGCAAAAAAAAACTGAAATCCTCAACATTACCTCCGCCTGTTATGCATGCAGGCATTTTTGCCTGTATTTTTTCCTTGTACAGTATGTTTACACCAAAGTGCAATTTGTTTGTAGTTTATTTACTGGTTCAGAACTAAATGTGTATGTGAATATTTATTGGTTTTTAAATAAACAATTCTCCTCCAGAAGCATTTTTGAATTTATCACAAGTTAAAACAGCAAAGGGCTGCATGAAGGCTAGCTGTGATGGATTCATATTTGCGACTTCAATTAGCACCCGGTTTAAAATAGCTGCCGCTCTCTAGGAGAAATGGTGAGATCAGAGGAGAACGCAGCGCATTGTCAACATGCCCTCTTCAGGTTTTTGAGAATATTTATTTTTATCTTACCTGCGCTATAAATATATGCAAACATTGCTTGCCCGTCAGTTTTACAGTCTCAACTCCTAGCTGAGTTCTGGGAGGGATATCCCATGCTTGGCATGAATTGTTTTTATCTCTCCATCATCCTAGTGGGTTGTCCTAAAGCGATTACTCACCGCTGTAAGTTCACCTACAGGCCTTTACCACAAATAGATGTTTGATTACCCTTCGACACCTGCAGGTTGTGGAACTGTGCTTGATGTGAAGAGTTCAGATTAACCAACTCGATCAGCTGCTAGAAAAGATGCGCTTGAAATATCATGCGTTTGGCAGAAAATAAAAGTATAGCATTGTAATTTTAAACGGTGTGTGCGAAAAATACAACGAATTAAGGGCGGTCTACTACCTTAAATTGAAATATTTGCCATAAGTGCGTAAAATGAGATAGTTTTTCGGGGCGCAATCGATCTCGCGCAACACCCGTTGCAATTTGACGCTTCTGGCTAAATGGCGTCAAAACACATGTTAAAGTTATGTAAATCTATTATACATACATGTAATAAATGATATATGATCTCTAAATAAATTATATATAATTACAGTGCTTGTCATGCTTTACAAATCGCAATGTGAAGCGCGCGCGTGCGGAAACCTATACTTACATTTAGACTTGCTTTCTCTGCGGGGTTTCAAGCCTTATAATTACCGTCCACAATTTGCGCCCTGTTTAATATCGAGCGCGCGCGCGCGCACACACACTAAACTCTAATCTGCTTCGGACTCCCATCCTGTCACGCTTGTGGGTGTGTGTGAGCCGGAGACAGACATCCCTAGTGATTTGAGTTTATCACCGCTGATTTTATTACGGATTAATCAGTGGATCTCTGGCATATTCGGAGAATAATGAAACGGAGAAATCCTGCTGTTCTGATTTCTCTCCGGCAACCTGTCTGCGCATGACGCAGGGGGGAGGAGGAGTGGGAAGTCTACTTAAAGCGGGATTAGCACGAGCCAAACATTATACTCCCCTCCGTTTAGGCTCAGAGCGACCTATCGTCCTGCTCGCGAGACAGAAAATATGAGGGCTTTAGACTAATCAGGACCTCAGACGAGGGCGCGCGCTCCGGAGCGAGGCGTGGACGACAAAGGTGGACTGGACAGCAGCGAATCAATGCATTCACCCGATACCACACTCGCCTTTAGAGCGATAGACGCGGAACACTAGCTCGCATTTGATTTCACAGGGTCCACTGTGTTTTACCGTCTCCGAATGAACATGGGGGAATGGACAATTCTCGAGCGTCTGCTGGAGGCGGCTGTCCAACAGCACTCTACTATGATCGGGAGGTGAGGGGAAAAAAAGTGGAAAATGTTTTATTGATTGCCTAGTAGATTAAAAATAAAATAAAATAAAAGCATTGAGGTCATTACGCAGTGACCCTTCGGAATAAGGGCGATTGGCCACTGGAACTTAGTGTAACCTGCACTGGCAATGACAGAAAAGCGCTCGAATAATTGAGATAATGCTTTGTGTTGCTGTTGTTACCGCACATTTGGAAAAACGAAGCTTTTGTGCCATCGGTAAGATTACTGTTCCGTGTCAAATCGTATATGCTTTCAAAGAAATGTGCGCGCCCTGACTTGATGCGCGCATTTGCCTGTGGAGAGAGTTTCAGCACTGGACAGCTCCCCGCGTCAAACTGCACAGCCAATCAATGATACAGTAAAAACCTGTTAACTGGTTAGCTGTAAGTTACCATATTACAATAAAAAAAAAATTAAGAGACATTAAATGTCATTTTACTGTGAAAAACAATAAAGTGACAATCTGTGTTATATTCGCAGTAAAAAAGGACGTTGCGTGTTTTATGTGACATGTGATGTTATTTGGTTATTGTACATATCTTATTTCAGTGCCTTGGTAATGTTTTGTGTGGTTAAATGTACACTATATGCTGAACGCTACTGTTCGTGTCCGTTTAACAATGTTTACTAAAATATTTGACTGAAATATTTGATCATTATCAGATAACAAGCACATCAGTAGCATTCATGTAATATGGTTTGGACTGCCAGTTTTTAATAGTAAATTTAACAGGATTTGTTTTCTCGTTTTTTTGACTTGACTACTGGAGCAGACTTAAAATATCTCTTTCCTTGTCTCTTAAGGATCCTACTGACAGTGGTGGTGATCTTCCGGATTCTAATCGTAGCGATAGTTGGAGAGACCGTGTACGACGACGAGCAGTCCATGTTCGTGTGTAACACTTTACAGCCGGGCTGCAACCAAGCTTGCTATGACAAAGCGTTCCCCATATCTCACATCAGATACTGGGTGTTCCAGATCATCATGGTGTGCACTCCCAGTCTGTGCTTCATCACATACTCGGTGCATCAGTCGGCCAAACAGAAGGAGCGCAGATACTCCATGGTCTACCTGTCCCTCGACAAAGAGGAGACGATGAGACGCGACGACAGCAAAAAGATCAAAAACACCATCGTGAACGGAGTACTCCAGAACACCGAAAACTCCACCAAAGAATCCGAGCCCGACTGTTTGGAAGTCAAAGAGATCCCTCATTCGGCCATGAGAACTACCAAATCCAAAATGAGGCGGCAAGAGGGCATCTCGAGGTTTTACATCATCCAGGTGGTTTTCAGGAACGCGCTGGAGATCGGCTTCTTGGTGGGGCAGTACTTCTTGTACGGGTTCAACGTGCCCGCCGTGTACGAGTGCGACCGCTACCCTTGCATCAAAGACGTCGAGTGCTACGTCTCCAGACCCACGGAGAAAACCGTGTTCCTCGTGTTCATGTTCGCGGTCAGCGGGATTTGCGTGGTGCTCAACCTGGCCGAACTCAATCACCTGGGCTGGAGGAAAATCAAAACGGCGGTGAGGGGGGTGCAGGCCAGGAGGAAGTCCATATATGAGATCCGAAACAAGGACTTGCCCCGGATGAGCATGCCTAATTTCGGCCGCACCCAGTCCAGTGACTCTGCCTACGTCTAATGCCACGCTCAATCTTGGATGATTCCCATTTCAATTCTCTGAGCCTGATCGCTTACTGACCCTCATGTCGTTCCAAACCAGAAGGACTTTTTTTTCTTATGTGGAAAGCCGACAACATTGGATCCCATTCTTTTTCTTTTTTTTTCATAATATTTGACTTCTTTGGTGTTCCACAGAACGACATCAGGGTGAGTTAAACGATGACCCAATGGCATCTAAAATGTGCGAAACAAACTGAAAACTATATACAAGAGATGTTATTGTGAACTGTTCATCTCACCTGTTTCATGGTGGGGTAGATGGATATTATTTGTCTGTTATGGACAACCAGAACAAATGGACCAATTTGTTCCTTATCAGTTACTCAAGGGCACTGATGCAACTTTTTTATCGGTCAGAATGGAACGCTTACGGCGATTGTTTATTTCTTTCTTCATTCACATGATCAGTTGAACCCCAAATATGTTTTGCACTAAATATGGATTTTAAAGAAGCCAAAACGAACCCAAATCGTGCTGTGAAGGTCTGTTTTTTTTGTTTGTTTGTTTTATTATACTGTATTTCCATTCTGGTTTTAGATTGCACATATGATTCAGTTTACTCACCGCAACTAGATAGATAACACAGTCTCATTCCAACAAGTCATTTAACTGACGTCTTGGGACCATACGTCAATATCCGCCTTTTTAGGGTACCCTTAAACGTCGGTTACATGACGATCAACTGACGCTTTACCTTTAACGTCGGTTAGGTGACGGGGTAGGTTTAGGTCTGGGGTAGAGTTAGGATCCGATAACATCATCTACCGACGTTTAAGGGGGCCCTAAAAAGGCGGATATTGACGTATGGTCAAAATACAGTCAGTTATATGACGTCTTGGGATGAGACTGCGCTGAAATAGACCGCAGTTCATATATGTTTATCCATACTATATAAATCATATCTCTCTTAGATAGACTGGCATCTTTAATGATTTGGTTGCCTGTGCTTGCACCACTGACCTTAACGTAAGTTATCGTTCCGTTATATTTAAGCTGACTTGCAGATCGGTAGCCGGTGAACTGGCCAATGCTGCAGAACGCTTAACTGTCTATCTTTTTGTATTTATTTATTTTTTTGACACCAAAGCGCCCGTTGCTTTCATTTGTGTGAAAAAGATATATTGCTTTTATGTATTCAAGTGCCATATATGTACATAGATATATACATATTATAGTATATTGTAATCCTTCTCGTGAGATATGAATTCCACAAACTCTTTGTGTGGACTGCTTTCAAAAGGACGTCCTATCCCTTTAACGTTGGGGAAGAAAGAAACCATCCATACATATTTTGCATTCCTTAAAAATATATTACATTTGAAGTACATGGAGAATCGGTGAATGAGGGGTTGAGATTCATTCACCCCTGGTGCTTCTATTTCTCAAAAAGACAAAAATGATGTTGGCAACAATGTGAGATCAAAACAATTCTAATAATAAATTATGAAATTCATGACTGAAAAAAAACTGTGTGATTTGCGTTGTTTTCTGATTTTGGTGGGGATTTTTATTCTAAAGCATCAGCAAAAAGTGCCATTTTCCTAAGGGATTGACGTCCCTGTCATCTTCCCCATGACTCAACTTCCTGTCAGTTGAAGTTTTTTTTTTTTTTGACTGGTTCAGCAACACAGTGCTTAAATTTGATCCGGGCGCCATAATTCTACCTGTCCAGCTTCAGTCATGCTGACACATTGACAGAGGCTTCCTCCCGGTCCGGTGCCCTGAACACAACATCACTGTACAGCAGAGGTCTGGTCCCTTGCAGATGTCACGGTGACCCCTGTGCCAAGGTCACAGAGAAACTGCTGAACACTGCAGCCGGTGGCCTCACACCGGGATTTCTCTTTGCTGACAGACTGGGAGAGGACTGAGACTCACAAAAGTGCCAACTCTCCAGCAGAGGAGGGGGGGATCTTGGCCCGAACATCCTGACAGATCCTGACAGATCAGTTTGGAATTCAACAGGGACCTGCGATTCCTCTTTGACACAACACACACCGCGAAGGTCCAACCGGACAGGACATCAGTGGAGGCTGTTGCTGCCTGTGTGTCTATGTGTGTGTGTGTGTCTTGTACAATTTCACTTTGCGCCTTCCTACCCTGAGGGTGTTAGTTATTTAGTCATTAGTTCCTTCCCCTCTCTGAAAAAGTTTGAAAAAGTCCTACAAATCTTTTTTTTTCTTTGATATATATATATATATATATATATATATATATATATATATATATATATATATATATAACAAAATATCTGACCATGTGGAATTCATTTTGAAAGAACAATAGCACACTTTAAGCAAAAACATTTACACAAAAAAGTTTGTCTGGGTCAAAAATATCAAAAAATATGTTATTATAATGTTTAAATCTTTAGAAAAAATTTTTTTGAGAATAAAATAAAGTATATTTTAAACCGCTTGCCCTTTATTGGGTTGCAGGTAATTATAATATATGAATTATGTTTTTAATATACATTATATTAACTACAAATATTCATATAATATACTATAATGTAATATGGTATTATATATAATTTTGTGGACATGTTCATTAAGATCTTTCTGAAATACCTAAAATGTACTTTTTATCAAATTTCTTTCAAACTTTATCATAGTTAATTATTTAATAAATTATTTAAATAATATACAAACTTGAAACTTGGATATAATATAATATAATATAGGGTATGTTGATGTAAAGATTCACTAAACTTACCAAGAAAAGAACAAAATTGTCCTTTCAAAATGGCTAATAATAAAAAAATTGTAGAAAAGCTCTAGCATTTTTATTTATTTATTTATTTATTTATGTATTTTTGCAGATGCCATCATTTGAATCTAACACACACACACAAAACAAAAATTAAGTGCGCCTTAAAAAATGTATAGAATTTATGAATTGCATTATGTATTGCTCTGTTAGACTACATATATCAAGTCCCATAACAAATGAATTAGCTATATTAACATTTCAAATGTGCAACATTTAAGCAATTCAAAGGATTGCGTGTTGGTTTATTTTTATCTCTCAGTCGGACTCAGTACTGTGCGATGCTTAGAAAGCATTTCGAATAATTCAAGCTCAGTTTACTGGCACGAGCTATAATTCTCTAAAGCAGGTTAGGGAATGCTGATGCTAAGAACCCCCGAACACCCCTCCACCCCTCATCTATGAAGCTTAATAAAAGATTAAAGCAAAAGTGCACCAATGCAAACCTTGATGGAAGCGTCCTTGAGCTTCAGTACAGAGGGATACATGATTACTGTATATCAGTTTATAATACTGCTAGACTCTCGCAAAAAAAGAAACTCTACTAACTCATGCAAAGTGCTGTGTAATTGTTAAAACCCACAGTCATATGTCTATAAGTTTCTTTGTATAAGGCGATTCAGGCAACAAACCAATCGGACGTCCACTTTTGATCCAGGCGCCGTGACTGGCCATCAGGGTGACATGAGGCCATGCAAGTATCATATTATAACCAAAACAAAACAATTGACTGAGGCATCCGAAAAGCTTGTCTGGTCTGAGATCCTGCCATCAGCCGCCAGTCACAGGGATTTCCGGCAAAGTCATCGGAATCACAAAGTCACAGTCAGCAAGAACAGCTGACGAAACACAACAGCGAGAACAACACAGGCATTTTTGTCCATGTATGGAGTCCTCACAAGAAACAATACGCTCAAAAGTATACACTGCGGGCGACACACTTACTAGAAACAGACGTTTTCTTTAAATTTTCTTTCCTATGTGGTAAAAATAGCTCTGAAGTGGCTTAGTGGTTAGAGAGCTGGACTAAAAACCCAAAGGTTGTGGAGTCTAAGGCTAGACGGGGCAAATCATAAGCTCCCACCATTGTGTCCTTGAACAGGACACTTAATCCCAGGTTGCCCCAGGTGAAACCTTCTAAGACAGACTGCTCTGTTGTCTCTTCCTACTGTGGGGTGTCCAGTCCTGCTCCTGGAGGCCTTCTATCCTGCAGAGTTCAGCTCCAACCCCAATTCAACAAATTAAGTCACCTTTGTGCTCTTTATACAATACAGATTTTTTCAAAACAGCTTTACAGGGATAAACAGGAAAATAATGAGTCAGTGATGCAAACAGAATTCAATTCTGCTGTAAAGCAGCTCTAAAAAGACAATAATAAACTGTCATTATTTCGGTTCACTGTGTATAGTACATCAATTATGAAATGAGTTCATTTCATCTATAAATCAGTTAAACAGTGATGTCATCGTCAAGCTCAGTTCAGTTCTCATCCAATGGTGTCAGTTCAGTCAAGTCATAGGTGAATATTAAGTATCCAACAACTAAGCAAACCGGAGGCGACAGTTGCAAGGAACCCAATCTCCGTCATGTGATGTGACAGAATGGAGAAAGAAAAAAAAAAAACCTTGGGAGAATCCAGGCTCAGTCGGGGAGCCAGTTCTCCTCTGGTCAACGAACGAACACAGAGTCATTATGATTCATGAAGCATCACAAGTCAGAATTCTATGGAAGCTTAATTCCTCCAGAATAAAACATTTTAAAGGCGCAATGTGTAAAAATTCTGAGTATCTCTTAACAGAAATGCCATATGACATCCATAACTATGTTTTCAGTGGTGTATAAAGAACTTACTTAAGAACCTGTAATGTTTTTATTACCTTAGAATCAGACATTTATATCTACATAACCCCCTTCTATGAAGGTCGACATATTGTGACGTCATGTTGCCGAACGCGAACAAACAGTGCTATAGAGCGCGTTTCGTCACGACCTTGAAAGAGAAGCCACAGAAAGCTAGAAGCAAACCATAAACACAGTGAGTAGTGACTTTTCTCTTGTCAGTGGTGTAAAATATGTAGTTGGACTGTTTTATCTATGTGGGGATAAATGTGATAAAACGTTCATGAAACAGCTGATTAGTACTCTTGTCATTGACCGTAAAACAGCATGTTACAGGAATCACCAACCTGTCGATCGCGGTCGACAAGTCGATCTTGGAAGCATTTTAAGTCGATCGCGAAGAGTTTTCAAAACCAGAGAAAAAAAGTCTATTGTGTGTAGTAAATGGTGACTAGAGGATGCGGAGGCGCGCGTGCTGTTACAATAATGTCATTTTTGCCGCGCGCACCTTTGCGCAAATGCGGACGCGTCAAGGCGTTGAGCTTTAACCAGTTCAGCCACAGTTACAGCTCATATTAGCCAGCTAAACTTTTACTACCCTGTTGTAAAAAAAAGATATAGTAGCATTGTTTCATGTGGTTCTTCTCCCTCGCTGTATTATGGGTTTGCTATGTGGGGAGAAATGTGCTGGTTATGTTTGTGAGACAGACAATCAGCTGATTACTATTATTATATTACATATGATTCTCACCTGATTATGGCTTTATAAACTTCACACACTGCACCTTTAAAAGGTCATTTTTATTATTAAGCAACTTTTTATCTCTCAAGTTTATATCTTGCAATTCTTACTTCTCATAATTGCAAGAAATAAAAGTTAGAATTGCGTGATATGATGTCGCAATAGCGTGTTATAAAGTCAGAATAGCGAGATATACGTAAAGTCAGAATTGTGTGACAAAGTCGCAGTAGCGTGTTATAAAGTCAGATTAGTGAGATATAAAGTCAGAATTGTGTGATATGAAGTCGCAAT